CATAAACTTTTCCAGTAAGTTGTTAATAAAATGCAAACACATTTTTTTAGTTAATGTTAATTCTTCTTTTACAGTTTTAAAACATGTCTTCATTTTATTTTTTATCACAAGTTCAACACATTTTTTAGACCATTGTGGAAATGTTACTTTTTCATTCGTATCATTCTCAAATTTTTTTGTTTAAAATGCATATTCAACATTTCCTTTGCAGGCATGATTCTCTCAGCTTGCTGTCACATGTTATACTTTTTAGCAAGTCAGTAGGATATTTATATGCCAATATCTTAAGACTATACAACTTTTCACGAATCAAAGAAAAATTTTTATGGTCAATACATAGACAAGTATCTCGTTTAGGAAAGTCTGTTTGAACAACCCAAAAGGGTCTTAATTTGCAAATGTGCTGTAAAACATTGACTTGAACTCAGTTTTTTTTTTTAACTCATTCCACAAATTTAACATTGTATCATTTTATATTCTTTTTTGTTTTTTCACTTTGTTTCTTGTTATTGTTTCTTTTTTCCCAGCAGTAAGCCTACTGGAACTATCATTTTCTAAAAAGTTCCTAATTTCCTTTCAAGTTTTTGTTTTTTTAGTACATTTGAGGGCTGTTTCAAGTTGTATGGTAAGATACATTTTGAGGTAAGATTGTTGAGGCTTCTTTGAAATCTGTACTTCTTTATTATCTTTCCACTTAATACCCTGGCAAAATCATTTTTTTTGTCAATACAACTCTCAGTAGAAAAATTTAATTGTATTTTTATCATTAACACTTTGCTAAAAAAAGCAAGCTTTTCTTTACTTCCTTTGAGCATTTTGTACGTGACAAATTGAAGGAAAAACCCTAAATGGAGTGCTATGTTTTGAGGCTAGAACTCTGTTCCGCTTGGAGTAAATATGCCTAGGTAATTGCTATTAAACAAAAGTATTGCTTAAAAAAAGTAAAACTATTTACCCTGAGTATGTTTGCCACAGATGTGACACACTAACACTAACAAATTCAACTTTTAAAACTTTAACACTTATCAGCACTAAACAACTACACCAAAAATTCCCCCACTATTACTCATTAATAAAAATGTCTGATAGTTTAGCTAGACCAACAACATAGAGAACTATTGCTGCCTCCTACAGTTTTTTTTGGAACTAATAACTCTATCCACAGACGTGACATTTAAGGTGGTGACAAGAGCTTCAATTACATAAAAGTTACTTTAAAAATATGTTTTAAGGAAAATATTGTCAACTCTAATTTTAATTTATTCTTGATTATTTATTATATATTATAATAAAAGTAAAGTACTAGCAACAAGGTTTAAACTTCTTGGGATTAGCAAAATGTCTGGGTGGTGACATTCCATGGATGTGACTTGTCAGTCTGTGGAACATTATTTATTCACTGAAAATGCTATTTTGGATTGGTTAATATTGTATTAGCTGTATATTTGTTATTTTCACTGGTTCAAAGTATAAATAGTATTAACTTGAAAAAAAAATTAGAGGGGACAGTATATTGCTGCTTTTTTGGAGAATGATCCAAATATATATATATATATATATATATATATATATATATATATATATATATATATATATATATATATATATATATATATATATATCAAGTTTTTATTTACAACTCTTTTTTAACCCTAAACTTGAACCTTGTAAAGCAAGGTTGTTAAGCAAGATTGCTACACAGGAAAACAGCTTAAGCATGCTATTTCATACAGAGGCTAGATTTGAACCTGGACTAGTCTAGTTTACTAGTAGATTGAAAGTTTATGCAATTTGATGTGTCAAAAAGTGTTTTGGAATGAAAAACATCTTTTAATCAAAATATGTAGATATATCCAGGACAAACTTTGAGATTTAATTTATCAAAGAAAAATTACTTGAAAATTTAAATTACTTCCTCCATTTCATGACTCCAACCACCATGTCCATCTTGCAGATCATATATTTCTTCTTTACAACAATTTACTTGAACTCTGTCTCCAATATTCCATTTATTGTGCTGGGGTGATAAAGTTAACTGTACCATTTATCAATTACAATTATTTTAATCAAGTAAAAAAAAAAATTTTATTTCTACCAAAAAAACGAATTAAATTAAGCATATTTTTAATTTAATAATTAACTTTTAAATAATACTCATCAATTAATATCAAATAGAAATATTTCACACAAAAATACTACTTTATAAAGCAAATAGTAAATATAAATTCCAATTAGATATTACACAAGGGCAGAAAAATCATGTCAAAAGCATTAAAAAATATATATCTTAAAAAAAGCATTTATTGTTGGTTTTAATGCAATACAGGCTCTGTAACCTTTGTTCTGAAAGTTAAGGAGGCCGTGTTTCAAATAAGTGGATTAACAATCAGTCAGATTTTCTCAGCATGCTTGGAAATGGTGATCTTTTACTAGCAGATCAAGTTGCAACGAAAGGTACAACTATCTTCATCTTTTTTTCTATCCATTAAAACCATTCCTAATCTAAAATGGGTATTTGAAAACTCCATCACTATGCCATTTACAATCATCAAATCAGTAAAGACTTGCTTTTAAAAATGGATTTTCAATATTAATGCACAGTTTAGCACCAGTCAGGCAATAAATTTTTGCTCTGCTGCTGATAGAATGTTGTAACACTTGCTGATATGTTCCTCATTTCTTTTATCATAGTTCAAAGTCTGGGCTTCATTTATATTGCATTACTTTGTTAACAAAAATCAATGATGGGTTTTCAATATCAGTACAAAAGATCTGTTTTGATATTGAAGCTGTAATACAACCTTTTCTATGTAAATTGCAAGCTTTATTATCATTTTGTGTCATAGTAATTACAACAAGTTGTTCGAATTGCTTTTGATAACAAAAATTTTTCGTATTTGGTATAACACTGCAATATAACTTTTTTGACTTTATTTAAAGAATTGTTAACTAATGATGGACTGAATAAATAGGTTAAAGGCTTTTGAAAATTTCAATGGTCATTTTTGTCAGCTGATTCTGCTTTGCTGTCTTATTTGATGTTTGATGCTTATACGTGTAAACATTGCTGTTTGGGGGAGGAAGAGAGGAATCTTAAAAAGATATCCTAAATCCTTTGTATCTTTTTGTAAAAGATGGGGCCCTGTGATAGCTTGTGAATTCTGTTAGTATATAATTCAAAGTAGGTAAATATATATGGTACTTGTTAATTACTTTTTAACCGTTTGAGGTTCTTATGTCTTAATGGGACAGGGTCAACCTTAGTTTTTGATTCAAATATAGTTTACTTGTGTATGTTGCTTCTTTATTTGGTTCCAGTTGAACATATGCTTGTATTTTGAATAATAGAACAGCAAGATGACAATAGGCTAATTTCAATCTTGCCATACAGAAGAAGGTACAGGTCAAAATCTAGTTTTCTACAGTTCTAAAAATGTCTAACCTACCGATTGAAATTCAGTCTTCTTTATGCAGTACAACTCAAAAATGTAATATTTGTGTCTTTTTCTTTTGTCACTTACTTGACTGAAATATTAATTCATTTAAAAAAAACTGATTCAAACAACTGTAAATATTATTTATTTAGAAAAAACTGATTTAAACAAAATCAAACTTTAAGCTTATAAAATCTAAACCATTATTGAATAAAAATAACTTTTTTTATATACAATACTTAACCTTAGTTTTCAAATAAAAGTAGTCAGTGTTCTTGATTTCACAATAATAAATGTCATAAACATGCCCATAAGTTGTGAGATTCCTAAACTTTTATTTTCTGTCTGTTAAATAGACTAAGTAGATCATTATTGATCTACTAAGTCTATTTAACAGACAGAAAACATAAGTTTAGGAATCTCACAACTTATGGGCATGTTTATGACATTAATTATTGTAAAATCAAGAACACTGACTACTAATATTTGAAAACTGCTGTATATCACCAAGTGATATATTAGAAAGCAGTGTTGTGTTGTTTTTCAATCATCGATAGAAAATGGCAAGAACAATCTATATCCAAGAATAAATATTTTTATTTTACGTGATTTTTATTATTATGAGTTTGAAAGTATTTTGAAAAACTCCGCATGATAACTTTTTTAAAGTTAATTATATAATATATATCAAATTTATTATAATTCAAAAAAATTATTATTTTAGATAATATAATTATTATATTATCTAAAATAATAATTTATTATAATAATATATTAAATATATAAAGTTATATGATATATGTTTTATATTTTAGCACAAATAAACTCATGTTTTACTGCTATATCGGTAGTTAAATGACATGGTTGTATCTCAGATACCAGGTATTTATTGTTTATTATCTCAGATACTCAGGTATTTATCGTTTTTGAAGTTTACTCCAAAAATGCTCAAAATATTGTAATCTTTGATGTTGATTTATCTCTAAATAAAGTCGGAATGAAGAGATAAAAAAAGATATAATTTATTGACATCTATAAATATTGCTTTTATCCACATTGTCAAAAGACCTTAAATTTAAATACATCCTACTTGTATTTAAATGAGATACAACCTCTTGCCATATAGTATTGCATATATTTCCATAGTTGTATTGCATAGGTTGTATTGATAGTTACCGAATTAGCTATGTTTACATTTATATTGCCGAAACTGGACTGGGTAAGAAAAACAAAACGCGTCATCGAACACATATCTGTCTAGAGTAAGGTTCTATATTATTATTTTATGATTAGAACTTTTTATATAGCTAATTAAACAATATTATAATTTTCATATAATAATGTAAAAAAACAAATAAGATCATAAGCATCATGATATAAACTTTGTAAATTTAACTGTTATAATCAGTCATACTCAAAGATGGTAAAGAAGAGTGTTTATTATATATTATAATTATATGTTTTATATTAAAATTATATGTTATACATTATAAGGTAAAAAAGATGTTTTTATCGTCACAACTTTTTCATAGAATCCCTGTAGTCACTCATTAAAAACATTTTAACTTTTTTTACAACCAAAAACAAAAAAATATATATAATTTTTTTTTTTTATTAAATGCCGTTGTAAGATAAAAAAACATATATCTATCTAGGTCCGCGGAGAGCTTTCATGACACCCGGGGCAAAGCATCTAGTAGGCGCCCCTTTAAGCATACATAACTTTAAAAAGGATTTAAACTAAAAGCATATGCTATCATGCATATTTATGATTGCATTTGTTTTTAAAATGATTTATTTTTAACGATGCATACATACGGGAAAATAGGCTGAAGACTACAGTCCACGCCAAACAAATAGCATATGTATTAACTTAGTAATAAAAATAGGTGTATGAACGTATTAAATTTAACACAATAATTAATACATATTTAACACAATTTAACACAAGAAATAAAATACAAAAAAAAGAAAATTGTCTTCGTTTTTGTTTAAAACATGTAAAAATAAATAAATGAATAAAATGAAAAATGCACCGTATGCCAAACACACTCGCTATTTTAGCAGGTCTTAGAGAATTCTAAGACGTAGAAACGTACCTAATAGTCAACCTTTTTACCTTTCTTAATAATAACTTGAATTCAACGCTTTGGCATCGAGGAAATGAGCGTTACAAGCAAAGATTTGGGGATTTTGTTCCATTCCATCTGGATGGCCATTTTCGGTGATGTTACTGTATTGTTTTCCATTTTCATACACGTGACCAGACAAGTAACCCAAAATATTTTCAATTGGATTCAAGTCGGGTGACAGCGCTGGATGATCAAACAACTGGATGCCATGTTCCGTTACAAATTCCATCACGGTCTTTGCCGTATGTATCGATGCATTATCTTGGATAAAGACAAGCGTATGTTCATAGTTTGCATACCCATATGAAATTAAGTAACTAGAGGGTATAATAATGTAGTCTTGAGCTGTTTATTTCTCTTCTAAGAACTTTCATTCATATAATTCGGCTTTGGAAAATGCACCCCAAATCATGACACCACCACCACCATTTTGTCTAGACAAGAAATTCTTGGGTTTATTTAGTAAGTCATGCTAATAATATTGATATCCATCTGGGCCATCAAGATTAAATTTTTTCTCATCAGACCAAATAATTTAGCCCCAATATTTGTTTGCATACACCATGCGTTTTTCCATGTGATGTTTCTTCATCACCGGCGTTGACATACGCTTCGCATACCTTAGATGTTTAGCTTCATGTGACGTTCTTTGTATCGTACGCAATGACACATCAATATCAAGCTGGGCGTGTAATAATCGAGCACTACAGCCGTTGTTTGAATTCACTTGTAGTATGTGATGTTTGTCATTTTGAAGCATTTTGGTTGAATTTTGTTTTCAAATATGTATCAGGATCCTTCAAAATCTTCTCAATCACTTTTCAACTTCGCTGTATATGTCTCAATATCTCAGACGTTTATACATTAGCAGCCTTGAATGCCTTGATAATAGTGACTTCTTCAGCATTTAACTTAATTTCACGTCCCATAGTAGTCCTCTGTAACACATATTATTAGTTTATATATGATGGCAATTTGGTCTCCCTTAATATATGTATTACCTACCTAGCGCTAAACAAATAATCTGTTGCAGCCAAATGTTAAATGAATGACGTGCGTTATTCGTTTGTCACCAGAAAATATCATATGGTCTACCATATTTTAACGCAGGAAAATATTTGGCGCCAAAAATGATACGTTTTTTTTATTACTTCTCTAGTTATGACTATTTTTAGATATTTTTATGTTTAAAACAGTATAAAATGAATAAAATATATTATATTTGTATTGTGTGCTATTTGTTTGGCGCGGACTGTATGTGTTTGGTAAATAAGGCTGAAGGAGTTTCCAAGAGTAAAACATCAAGACTTCTTCAAAAAAATTAACATCCATAATTTCTTCAATAAATTCGTCTTTTTTGACATCATTTTAACGCAGACTTGCGGAAATTTACTAGCCTTTATCTCTATAAAGAACCTGGTTCAACCAATTAAATGAGAATATAAAAGAAACAGTCTTTAAAATGTCAAATTTTGATTAAATTTTTGAAATAAAATGATTAAGAGCAAAACTGAAGATATTCACCATAAATTTTTTCTCTCAAAGCAGAAAACTACATTTGCAGATTATTGTAATATTGTTATATATTATAATATTCATTCATAATAGATTTTTTTAAATAAACAGTCCTTTGTCGGAAGTTCCTCATTACTGCTTCTCTCATCATAATTGACAATTTTAATTTTAGTAATACTATCATTCCAAAAAAGATTATTATATTAAATAGGGGATTATGAAATTTTAACAAAATTAATTAATGTTAAAGAAAGCAAATTTATAGCAAACGTGTTGCACCTATATGCCATTGATAAATACATTTGATCTCAGACATAGCATATGTATTTTTACAAATTATACTTAAACTTTTGTTAGCACTATTGCTCTCAAACTTATTTCAAATTAAGAAAACATCATTTTGATTATATGTCCTGTCGTTATATGCCATCATTTATTTTCACATAAGTTGTGCTTTAATTACTCATATTCTTGATATTGGTATAAGGCTAAAATCAATTTTTTTGAAAAATGTTTTCTTTATGATATTTTAAAGCTACAATAAGTCTCAATCGGTAACAATTGGTAACATGGTTACATTCTCTAATTTTTAATTAAATATTAAGTAAGTAAACTTGAAAATGCAGTAAACGTTTGTTTATTATTGTCGTGTTGCTAATAATCATCTTTTATTTTATTTTTATTGTAAAATAGCTTAGTCTCAATTGGTTACTTTGTCCCGAAAAAAAAATGAAGTTTCAATTCCCAAAGTTACGTCTCAATCCTTTTTTTTTTTTTTTTTTTTGACTTTTTAAGGTTTAACTAATTGAAACACTGTAACGTAACGTAACTTCATCTAGATTTGAGATTTAACTGAAATACGTCTCAAATATAAATTTTTTTTAATGTTAAGTTATGTTTTGATTATACACACTTTAAAAAAATAATACACACTTTAAAAAGTGAAAAAAAGATATATAGTAACGTAAAAAAATTTATATTTGTGACGTATTTTAATTACGTTTCAATTCTTAAATGTTTTGCGTTACGTTACGTCTTAATTAGTTGCATTTTCAAAGGTAATAAAACAAATAAGTTGCTTATAAGCAATAATAATAAGCAAAGTAACTTACGGTACTTAATTAAGTACCGTAAGCAGTGAAGGATTCAGCATTTTTTGGAGTTTGAGATGAGAGTCCCCAGCCTCTAGCATAAATTGAAGTTTGAACGCTGAGAGAGCGTTTGTATGTTTATACTTACATAAACATACAAACATAAAACATAAAAAAACATAAAAAAAAGGCTTCAAAATGGATCCTTCACTGACAATAGGTGTACATACATAAATGTCCGTTCATATATACATACAATACTAAATAAATCTGGATTATATTGCATCTACAAATTGCGTTAGTATTATAAAATAAAATATTATTATACGTGTTTTAAGTAACCATACAAGATAAATAAAGATGTTGCGTCAATTAAGAACATTAAATAACTTAAGACTAACAAAAAGTAAAAACATTAAATATTAGGATTACCAAAAGTTTTTAATAATAGGATAGTGATTGCTTTGTATCAAAAGTGTTGTTTCGTTGCTCGTTTAAAACGCTGAAGTTAACGTTTTTATATTACTTGTTAAAAACCAGTTACAAAAACGCAGCCCTCTGCAAGATAAAAAAAAATTACATGTTTTGATTTGTTTTTGATATAAACTAATACTTTTTTCAATGGAACATAAGTTAGTAAAAACAATAAATTATAGATGTTATAAACAACGAAAAGAAAAGCTTGGAAAGCAGTTTTTTAACATTCTCGTTTTTAACTGCTTCCCTAAAAAAAAAGTGAATTTCTCTAAAACTCGCTTTTTTAGTTTTGTTTCTTTTAGAACAAATAGAATATTTAAAGTTCTTTTTTTGGTATAAACATTTCAAAAAACTTTTACTTTTTGTGACTAAAAAAACATTAATGCAAACTTTGATGATGGGCAGCAAATCAAGCAACATTGTCGTTTTGGTAAAGCATGTGTCGTTTTGGCTTCAACAAGTCAAAATAGTGAATTGAATCAGTGCAAAAAATATAAATCCAAGATTTTATAAAACATGCATATTAAAGTGTAAAAGACACCGAGTTTTATAGCACTAAAAAGTGTTGCACAAGTTACAATTCAACTAGAACTTCAAAAGCTCACAACAAAATGTCACAACATCATGAAAGGAATACAAAAAAAAAAATTAAAATGCTTTCATTTTAGTTACTATATTATTGGATGTTTTTTTAACTTTTATCAGTAGTTGTTGTTTTTTTAACTTTTATCATTAGTTGTTTTTTTAAGTTATCTTAATGGTTTGCTTTTTTTTAATTAAATAAATTTTCTTAAGGAAAAAAAACTTTATCTTTATATAATTAAATACAGCTTAAAATTCTCTATAGCTGAGGTTTTAATTAAAAGTCTTATTTCTATTTCAATTGACCTGATTTTACACTCTGTAATACAATATTTTAAAAGCAAATAGCAAAAGCATAGTAGATAAAAACTTTTTAAGGCAATTAGCATATGAGACTTATAACGTGCCTAAAATAGTATCAAGGTTATAGAACTATGGAAACTCTTATAAAGATTATAAAAACAAAGAATGATACCCTTAAACATAAATCCTCAGTAATGCTCAGTCAATTTGAAAATTAACTATATAACAAAATGATAACAAAAATTTATGCATAATAATAATAAACAGTTATTGTTTTATTATTATTGCTGCTATTATTTTGTATAAATAAATTGAAATGAGGTGAGTACCAAATATTAATAATGTAAATATGGTATTTAAAAAGACCATATTTGCATCTAAAATAACATCAAACATACTGCAAATCTGGTTCTACTACGCTCTTACTTTCTGCTTTTTGTAGTAATTTTACTTTAAGGTGCTGGTTAACAGCACCTTTAAGAACAACTACTTTCATAGGGTTGTACGTTATAGCAGTGTTTTTATAAAACAAAATTAAAGCCATTGGGTTGGCAAAGAAAGCCATAAAAATATATAAAATTTTAAAAATATTTTTATTAGCGTCAAAAGAAGCAGCAATTTTGAAATCATCTTGTGGCGCTAAATTTTGAGTAGGTTATTCCATATTAACGATACATACCAGTAGTCCATCGTAATATTCCGTTAAATTTTAGCAAACTATTTATCTTAAAATTACGTTATAAAATCGTTTTTCAAAAATAGTTTAAATTTTGTATAGACTTTGGCAGACCAAAATCTTTACACAAAAATAAAGCTAAAGATCTGACTACGTTTTGTACAACATCTTGTGATAAAAGCAAATAAAGTAATAATGTAATTGTAACTATTATTGAACGGATACGGAATGCCTGCAAATATAGCATAAAAAGCTATATTTGCAGGAAAGAATGAAGGTATCAGAGATTACTGAAATTTAGGATGACATTTCATAAAATAAGATAAAAAATTCCTCTCAAAAACACCAGGTACGACTACATGTAAAAGAAAAACTCCCACAAAATGAGGAGTCATTTAGTTATTCCGTAGAAGAAGAGTTATTCAGGTTATTTATCGATTACTATCTGTAAATTTTCCAATTTTTTTTTTTGTTGTTGTTTATTTTGTTATCTTGACTTCAAGTTCGTTTTTAATTCAATTTTTATGTATGTTTTATGTTGTCTAGTTTTCATGTAGTATGTTTTATGTTGTCTATTTTTATGTAATGTAACTTTTTATACCGAAAAAAAAGTTAATAAAATAAAATAAAATTTACTGTTGCCAAAATTATTCAAAATGTAAAGGCTTTTAAATACCATTGCAAATCCTAAGAACTTGGTCATGCCAAACATTTATTATTCATGAGTCTTTTTTTAGTTTCAATTTTTAGTTTCTATTTATAAGGATCAGTTTAGTTTGAATTTTTAAGGATCAGCATTTCAAATTTGTGAAATTATTTTTTTTTTCTAACACTATTAATCACTTTTCAAAGAAAAAAAATTTTTTAACTCTGAAACTTTATAGATAAATTACTTTTATTCAAATATGAAAAAAGAGAGACATTCAACAAGGAGTATAAAAAAGATTTTTCAGTGATACTTAAAAGTAATGGGTGTTCAATAGAAAATTTAATGCTTTTTTGAATGTCTTGAAATATAAAAGGTGAGTTAATTAGTTAAAGATAAAGTTCTGTAAAACTCATTAAGTAGAAATGTGATTAAGACGTTAAAGGGCAAGACCAAGACTAAGACCAAGACATTATGACTCAAGACAAAAACCAAGACTTAAAAATTCAAGACCAATACCAAAACCAGGGGCGCATCGAGCATTTTTGGTCGTTGAGATTAATTAATTTTGAGGTAATTTTTCCAGACATGGAGCAAACTCGAAACATTTATATGTTTTTACTTACGTCAAATATGAATGCCTTGCAAAAAAATTGCGATGATTGGAGGCTGGGAACAAAAAAGCCCCCAAATTTTTGTCTCCCTGCCCCAAACGTGAGAGCTGAATTATATTTTTACTATTCTCAACTAGACTAATATTCATCAAAAAATTTTAAATTTTGTCGTAAAATATTTTAGCGTTCAAAAATTACGACTATATAAAGTTTAAACCCCCTCAATTTGAGGGGTTGTAAATTTTATATGGTCATAATTTTTGAATGCTGAGAGATAATATTATGAAACTTAAAATCTATTGATGAATATAAGTGAAGACCAAGACATCAAAAAGGCAACCCAAGACCTTAGCCTTTTTAAAATTTTCAAAATGCTAAGAGCAAGACTTAGATTCTTAGAAGTTTAACACAACTAGACTCATGCTCGCCCATGTATGTACACTATTAGGCTATTAGGTCATCTATCGTTTTCCATTTAGACATATTTCTCTATAACAGAACGTAAATACGCATGATAATATAATTATGTTATGGAAATTATTTAGTGCACTGTTGGAGTCTACTAAAGATATCTTACATTAACAAAAAAGATAATTACTAGAACAAAAAACTAACAGGTTTCTTCTATTCTTTAAAACAAAATGTACTAATAAAGTATGGCACAAGATCATTGCACTGTGAAATTATTAATAGCACACAACTTTAACTCTAACCCTGGCAACATGCTATGTTTTTTTAAACTATACCCAGTGGGGTACAGTTTAAAAAAACATAACATGCTATGTTTTTTTAAACTATACCCAGTGGGCATGCGTCGTCTGGGGGACGTCCATTGGATTTCTTACGGACATCTAGATGTCCGTAAAACGTCTGATGGATATCCCGTGCCTCACTGGGTAGTAGTCACATATTATAGTTACAAAAAAAAAAAAGTCAAGGTTACATATTTTATTTAGGTACTTTTTGTAAGAAGTAAAACCGGCACTTGAGTATCACTTAATTTCGTAACTTAAATAACACGTTAATCCTAGTAGTAGCATTTTATTATCAATTACTAATCCAAACAAAAACTGTTGACAGTTTTTGAAAGGATCAAGAAAGTGCAAGACAGTAAAGGTCCAAGATCGAGACCAAGATTCCAGGTTTTCAAGACCAAGACTCCAAGCTTCAAAACCAAGACCAACACAACTAAATATCAAATCTTGAGACGTCTCGAGACTAAAGACTTTAGTCTCAAGACCTACGTCTCTGTAGAAACCAATAAAATGGATAAATTCCAATATCAAGATTATTGTTAGTGTTGTTTTTATTGTTATTTTTTTTAATAGTATTATTATTATTATAATAGTAATAATAATAATTTTTTTTTTGCATCTGAAAAAATTCAACTGTGTAATTAGTCATAGAAGAAGTAAATATTTATTTTTGGTTCAATTGCTTACGCTTCGCTTACTTATATCTCAAAATAGCATAAAAATGAAGTAATTACAAAGTAGCATAAAATTAAAATTTTTTAGACTATTGCATCGAGCTCCATGTTTTATTTATACGCTATTGCATGCTACTTACTGAGTGTAGTCACCCTATCAACCCTATATCAGATTGATTTCTAAATTGTCTTGTTTACAAAACAAAAATTAGTTTTAGTGTAAAGTTGCAATTAAAATTTGACAGGTCACATAGGTTCATAAATTGAATTCGATTTGTTTTTGCTATTTCAGGCCCGTAGCAACGGGGAGGGGGGGGGGTGAGAGGCGATGGGCATTTGCCCCCTCCCCCAATAATTTTTCAAATAAATAATTTTGAAGAAATTGACTGAAAAAATGACTAAAAAAAAAAAGGTCCCTAAAACTATATCAGAGTAGTACTGCCCCCTCCCTCAATGATAATTTATGTTCCTACGGTCCTGTTCTTTCGTATGAAAACTATTCGTGCCCTATTTCTATTTTGAAAATTTTTCATTGTTTTATTTCTTCTAAAACTAATCAAAATAGTAAGGAAACTCATTCATTTATGTAGCTTTTTTTAAATTTTTTTTTGTATTTTCAAACATTTTCGGTTTGTGTATTAAAATATTGTTTTTAAATATTGTAATGATTATTACTGTTTCATTTTCTTTTTTACTATTCACCTCACTTCAAACAAGATTATTGAAAACAATAAGAAAAATGTTTTATTAATTAATGGATGCAACATTGTAAATTTAGATTAGCTTTTGTGGTTTTTTCCGTAAGGAGATGGTCAAAATGCGACTTTTGTTTTTTATATAAGTATTATTGCTTGAATTGTTAAACAAAATTATTCTTAAAACAACTTTTATGTCAATTTTTTGCTTACCAAGAAACTGGCAATTATTCAAACGATGCGAACATTGGAAAAAATTGCCGCAGTAATTCATTATTTTGCTTTAACCGTTACAAACTCTTTGCGGTCTAAAGAAACAATTTGCGAAAGTCAATTTTACGTATTTACTAACTTGACGGATTTCGATTAAAAATCTCTTAATTTAAAATCGAAAATACACAAATTACAACTTAACAATTTAAATGTTATCGGTTATCATTTTTAGTTTACATTATTTAGTTTTTTAATTATAAGAAATTTGCTGAGATTTTTACGCCAATTACACAATTTAAATACAAAAAAATTATTAATTACACCCATTCGAAATCGCGCACCCATTTGAATCGCAATTAGTTAAGTGAAATATAAAAGCATTTTTTGTCATTATCGATTTGTTTTTCATATTCTTTTTAAAAAAATAATTAAGTGCTGTAGTATATATGTAGTTATATATGTTTTGAAAATTAAAGAAAATATAACATGAATCTACAAAACTTTAAATTTTAAAGCACTTATTACTATACATGTTAAATCCTGTCAAACGCATATACAGCTTGTATATAAGTTTGTAATAATAACATGAATATCTATGAACATTTTGCATTTTTATACATAATTCATTTATTTGATAATTGAAAATTTGGTTTCTTTTTATAAGAATGATTATTAAAATTAAATGAATCGTTTTGTGGAAAATGTCTGCAAATCTTCCATATGAGCTGACAAAGTTTAAAGAGCATACTAAACTACTTAAACAAGTTAAAAAAGAAACTGATAGAGCGTTCTATGAAATTCAGCAATCTGGTCATTTTCCACAGGAAACACTGCGTGCTTATCTTTTACCTCAAGATGAATATCACGAGTTAGCTAATATTTGTGAAAAGCCACCTACAATAATTGTTCTTGGAACATCTTGTTATGCAAAAGTATGTGCAATTAATGAATTAGTCGGTGAACCAATTCTTCCTATTATTGAAGATGGAGATAAGTCTACTATGTGGCGAATGGTGCGATTTAAACATGGCTACTATTCTACACTCAGTTTAGTATTGCCAGATAGTTATGAGTTAGCTGCTGCACTTGATGCATATGAAGGAACATGGCGATCTGTTCCACGAGCAGATTTAGAACTTAGAGGTCGGGATCGTTGCGATCCAGCATTAACTGCAGCAGTAGCTGAAGTTAGTTTAGATCATCCTTTATTAAAAACAGGTGCAGAAATAATTTGTTCACCATCCAATTCAGGAAACTGTGTTGAACAAGTCTTTAAAACTTGTGTAGCAGAGATTTTGCCAATTATTATATTTGCAACTGACACAGATACTATTGAACAAAAGGTAATTGCAGCTGTTGTTGATATTGTTTATGTATTTTTATTTCATGCATTTTTAACATTTTATGTACTATTTGAAAAAATATGCGAGTATATGCAATAAAAAATAACTTTTTAATTAAAGATTTTATATAAGATTTTGCCAACTATACAACCCTACATAAAAAGGTGTGTATACTTAGAAATTTAAAACATTTTAAAAATTTTAAATGATTTTTTTTTTTTTTAATTTAGTTTAAAAATTTCACTTTTTAATCTTTATAATTTTATTTATTTATTATTATTATTATTATTATTATTATTTTTATTATTATTATTAATATTATTATTATAATTTTAATTATTTTACCAAATAAGTTAAACAAAAAATGAACAGGTTTTCAAACAATTTTAAAAGGAGATTGCAGAGTTAAGAATTTATAAAATATGTTTTGCTTGTAAACTAAATAAACTTTATATGTTTATTTGCTAGATATAGTTATCATTTTCATTTTTTTATATACAAAAATAGTATTTTGAATTCAGATATCTTACTTTTTTTTTCTTCTATATATATATATATATATATATATATATATATATATATATATATATATATATATATATATATATATAATATACATATATATATGTTTCAGTTATGTTGAGAAGTACTATCACTAAGGAAATGAACTATTTCAATGACAGGCAGCTTTTCATTAATAAGTCATTAATAACAGCACATATTCCAATAAAGTCATGATGCCTGTTATCTGAAATTGTACAGTAAGATTTTGCCTTTATTTTGTTTTCAGAAATATTATAATAGTATGCCATAACTGTATGGATTGACACTTGGTTTCTTGATCCGTTAAAGTGGAGTGATTGGATTTCTTTTGAGCATTTGCTATTGTCATTTTCTGAAAATTTGCAATGAATGAAAATATCCCTAGGCCCTAAGTTATTTTTTATTTCTGATGTAGCTTTGTACTGGTGTTTTATATTGTATACATGCTTCATAAACATTTCCAGTAAATTGTTAATAAAATGCTAAAACAGCTCTTTTTTAGTTAATGTTAACTCTTCTTTTACAGTTTTACAACATGTCTTTATTTTATCTTTTACCACAAGTTCAACACTTTTTTTAGACCATTGTGGAAATGTTACTTTTTCATTCATATCATTCTCAAATTCTTTACAAACTATTTTTTTTTAAAAAGGCATACTCCGTATTTTCTTTCCAGGCATTATTCTCTCAGCTCCCCATTACATACTTTTTAGCAAGTCAGTATGAGTCAATCTGATGGAAAGTTAAAAACTTTACATGTTCTTTTTTTTGTGCAAACTTCAGTTGGCATTTAATTTTTAGATAGATATCACTTTTTTCATGGAATAATTTCAAGAATTTTTTTACAGTACAAAAACTAGCAATACAACTATATAAAAGTGTTGAACTATTCAGTGGCTTTAGGGGGCCACATTCCACGATTTAAAATTTAAAACTAAACCTTTAATACTATTTTCTAGTTTTACTAAATTGTTTTAATACTAATTTACTCCTAACAAAGCTGCAAGAAACTACAATTTATGGCAGGAGTTATAAAGAAACAAAGAATTATTGTTAAAAGCCTATAATGGCATAAGCTTTGTTGAAAAATTTAGGCTCTTCAGAAACATTGTTGTTTTGTGTTTTGGACTAACTTTAGATTAAAGTTTTCATGAAAAGATCCAACAGTTCAAGCAATCAAAACTTCTTGAAAACCAACAAAAACAGTTCAAAACCTCATTTTATTAGTCACTGTGACTCCTAAAGTACATATTATTTTTTACCATGTTCCAGAATTCATTAAATGCCATGGAGTTTCACTTAGTTTATTCAGCAAACAGATAACAGAAGCAATGCATTCAATATTCAAACATCACTAGATACAAAAGAAACAAATCCCATCTTGATTAATTATCTCCAAGAGATTACATACACCTCAAGCAATGAGCTATGTAGTTGTCTTGGTTGGTCTAACAGCGATACCATCCATATAAAAGATGACACTGTTAAAACTCTGATATTTTACATCCGTTAATGGAATCAGCCTCTTTTAGAGTTGCCACAGAGTTTGAGAAAACATACTTCCAGTTAGCCTCAGAACCATTAAAATGAGTCTGTTATATTGTTGCAGTCACTGTAAATCACTGAGCTAAAACAGTACCTGATATTCAAACAAAACATGAATATACATGTTGTAACTTATGGGTAAGCTAACACTGCATTAGAGGTTCAAGTAGAACACAAACATATATATATATATATACATAAAAAAAAAAAAAAAAAAAAAAAAAACTTAACCCAGGTCACAAACATGCATATACACTAACTTGACCCAGGTCAAAAACATGCATATATAGTAACTTACAGGTGAGCTAACACTGCAACAAAGATATATTTAACAATAAAAGATAAATAAATATTATTGATATTATATAGTAACAGGAACTTTAGTAAAAGATGAACAAAAAATCTTTTAAAGCAGGACATGTGACAGATTGTACTGAAGTACCTGTCATAACTAACAGGGTGATTATGATGATATTAGGCCTGACCCTTATCTGAGCATTGAAAATATTTTTCCGTAAGTAATTTGATTAAAAAAGAAATATTTTCTTAACCTTATCTCAACCAATAGTTTTTGATTTATTATAATTGATCTATTATTTTCAATACCTATCATAGGTATTGAAAATAATAGATAAGTAATATTGTAAAATTGTTACATCATTGGAAGCAAAGTTTTAACTACTAGTTTTTTTTTATAAATTCTACCCAATGTTAATTATATTTAATTAATTTCTTTTATGAACCTAAATGTTATAGAAAAATATAACAACCATAGAGGTCACTATAATAAAAACATTATTTTACAATAAGCTTTGGAAAAAGTAGAGAGAATTGAAAAATTTATACAATATAAAAATAAGAACTTAAAATATTCATGTGCAAGGTCTTCACTGAGAGATTTTTTATCACCCATAATGATTTTATTGTGAAAAATATGCAGGCAGTCAGTAATCAAGGCTTCCCATTTACCTCCTTGGATTTGAGAGTAGTTATAAAAAGTTATTCTAACTGGAAGAACCACTGGAAGATACCCTGTTTTCAAAATAAAAACTTTTTAACTTGAACGGTTATTTCAATCATAAAATCTGGTTGATTTAATACAGTAACATTTTTGAATTGTTTAAGAACATTCTTTTGTAGATTTTATATTTTACACACTATTATTTAAGATATCTGGAAAAAAGGTTCCAAAAAGGGCTCTAAAAAAAAATTTTAGTGCACTAATCAACAGATCTTGAAGAACAAAAAGTGCTTAATTTTTTGATTTTTTTGTTTGTAAATATTCTCAAAAATTATTAAGTTGAAATTTTTGTTATTTTTAAAACAATTCAGTAGTTAATATAAAACACTTGCAATTTTAATTAATAATTCTGTTTATTATTAATTCTATTTAATTAATAATAGTTCTGTTTACTGTATTTTTTTAGTTAAAGATAATTGCTATCCTTTTTAATATTTTAGAAGGCGTTATTGATAACTTTTATTTTTGGAAGTAAAACACTTGTTAATATAACTATTAGATGAGGTCTGCTTTAGGCATACTTTTGACACAGACACTTTTTTTTTTAACATTTTTTTTTTGCTTTATATCAAAAGGAAAACAGAAACATGAAGTTAAGGCAAAACATTAAATTTTATTGTGAAAACAATGTAAAGTGACCACATTTTTTGGGATATCACTAAATTTTTAAGCGGTCAAATCAATATTTTTCATGAGTTTCTTAGCTATAGATTCAACTATAAAAAATTTCTATAAGTGATTTGGAACTTTAAAAATTTAAATTAATATATTTTGTTAGATAGCCTAGTGTTCTTTAATTATCTCAAACTTCATGTTGCTTTAGAATATCTGAATGTATTTTGGTATGCTTATTAGTGGCAAACCTTCTCATATTTATTCTTTTTGCCTACTGACTAACTAGAAATTATTTTCGCTATAATTTATATTTGTTATTTTGTAATAATATATAATTAGTTTATTTTAAATATTTGTATTATATTTAAGTTAAACAGATATATTTTTTTCTTGCATTTAGGATATCGATGAATTGATCCAAATTAATTCATTTGCCATGAATAGATTACCTGTGTTTTTTATTAAAGTACCTTCTCGAGTAAACTATGAGTTGAATGAATCTCATCAAGATACAATCAAACAAACCACTTTTAATGCTAGTGATTCACCTCTTTATACTCAACTTTATAATTTAGGTTTTTTAGTAAAAGAAACAATAGGTACGCATGAAACAAATGCATCTAATGACATAAATAGTTTTAATAGTATTTCAGTTATTAGAAGTGTTACTCCTAAGAGTGCCCTTATAGAAGATTTTTCGTTATTTCCTTGTTTTTTAATGTTTGTTCGACAAGTATTACAATACCATATAATTGCTGCTGCATGTGTATTGAACGATGCACACACTAGGTGTCTCGGTATGTTTATAAACTCTGCATTTGATATGGCTCGTGACATTAACGTTACACCAAAACGTATAGCTTATACACGCTCCAAAGAAGCTGAACTGTTTCAATCTCTAATTAATATTGCAAATAAAAAGCAAGAAGAAATAAGAGAAGTAATTCGAAATACCATTGAAGTTTTAAGTCCACAATTACAACAAGAAGCTGAACTTTTAAAGATTCAAGGAGTTGTATTTAAGCAAAATAACGAGCTTGCAGATGTTGAAGATTTAGAAAAGTGTATTCAACAAGTTCAGGAGCTTGTTTTAAGTAGGTTAAATCAATCAGTTGCTGGTAAGTTAATCAGTTCAGTTGAATATCTAAAAGAAAGTTATGTTGGTACCTTGACACGATGTTTGACAAGTCTTGAAAAAGCTGATGCCGAATTTGCAAGAGAAAGCGGAGTTGTTGCCTCAGTGGCATTGAAACAGGTATTGTTATTGTTGTTAAATTGAAAATTTTATTTTTTTTCTATAGATTATTTGTTCCATTTTTGATGATCATAACTTTGTTAAATGTGGTTGCATAAATTATAGCCAGAAATAAAATCATATATTAAATAAAATAAAGTTTGTTGACAGAAACTCGGTCTCGTTTGTTCTTTGCACTTTGCTTATTCTTTATTCAAAGAGGGTGTAATATCTAATACTTTGTGGTCATGATTTATTGATCATATTAGTTCGCTAAAATGTACTCGCCTTTCATTTATGGTTTTAGCTTTGTTACATCACCCATCTTGTATTTATAGAGCAGAAAAGAAACATCTTTAACACCTTGTGCTAGTGTTCATTTCAAAGAGGTGCGACTAATTTGTTTATATTGAAATAATATAAACATGTATTAACTTCTTTCAACATTTTTTGTTTATCTGAGAATTGTTTTATATTATATTATAGTAATTCTTACTTTTTTATGTTTTAAAGTTGCACAGTTTTTGTAAAAGGTTTTAGATGCAGCTTACCAGGTAGAAGTTACTGTACAAGCTAGTTTTTCATTCACTCGACTTTTGTGGGAAAAGCTCAAGCAAGCGGTTCAGATGCTTCCAGGAAAACATTCTCCTGTTATAGATTCCTCATGGAAAAGAAAAGTTGCTGGTGATGTAATAAGGTGCATAAGTGAATCTAGACTTGCAAAGAATATCTGCTCGCAATTCCGTGCTCGTCTTATGCGTTCTCATGAAGCATTTACCCATTCAATGAGGATTTTAGAAATGCGACACAATGGCCGACTAGAAAAAAAAGAAGAGCAGCGCCTAAAGCTAAGAAAGGTTTTTGCACCTCGAGTTGCAAGATGTGTTCTTGAAAGTACATCATTAAGAGATTTAGTCTTGTTTGGAATGCCACAGCTTGGTCGTGAAATTGGCCGCGGTCAGTATGGTGTTGTTTATGCATGTGATAAATGGGGAGGAAAAGGACCTTGCGCCATTAAATCAGTTGTACCTCCTGATGATAAACATTGGAATGATTTAGCTCTTGAATTTTATTATACAAGGTACTCGTATTTAATTTTGATTGTACTCGTATTTTTTTAGGTATTTTTGAAGGTACTCGTATTTAATTTTGATTTTATTATACAAGGTACTCGTATTTAATTTATTATTTCGTATTTAATTTTGATTTATACATTTTTAATTATAGTAAATTAATAATACATAATTAAAAATTTATTTATATGATAAAATATTTAAATATTTAATATATGAATAATTTTATTTAATATTTATTACTCATTTATGTTTTAGAGCTATTCCAGAGCATGATCGAATTGTGCAGATTCGAGGTTCGGTGATTGATTATACATATGCTGGAGGTAGTTCTCCAGCTGTTTTACTTATCATGGATCGATTGCAAAGAGATTTGTATGCTGGTATAAAATGTGGTATGAGTTTTCGTAGTCGTTTACAAGTTGCCATAGATGTGGTTGAAGGGCTTAGATATTTACATAGTCAAGGTCTAATTCATCGAGATATTAAACTCAAAAATGTCTTAGTAAGTTTTTTTTCTTCATTTTTTGTATTGAGTAAAACTTTTAAAAAATCTGATTTGATTTGATCACTTTTCACTGACATATTACCTCACGGTCCATACATAATCTGCCTTTCTGTTTTTTTCGTGTTTTTAAAGTTTCTAACTCCATGTATTTTTAAGAGTATATATATATATATATATATATATATATATATATATATATATATATATATATATATATATATATATATATATATATATATATATATATATATATATATATATATATATATATACACACACACATATATATATATACATACAAATATAATATACTTATAATATAATATACAAATTTACGTAAATATAAATATTTATTATGTATATATATACATATAAATATAATATACTTATAATATGATATACAAATTTACATAAATATAAATATTTATATATGTATATATATACATATATGTATATATATACATATAAATATAATATACTTATAATATGATATACAAATTTACATAAATATAAATATTTATATATGTATATATATACGTATATGTATATATATACATATATGTATATACAAATATCTTTCCATACTTAAAATTTATATTTTATAAAACTTGTTTAATACCAAATAGAAAACTAATAAAAATTACATCTATTTTTATAAACAGTTTTTCAATTGTCTTCTTAGAAATAAGTGATTTTTAGAGCAGCTCTAAATTTTCAGTGTTACTTTAAGACTCAGGATAAATCTAAAGCAACATCTTTTGAATTTTAGGAGCTGAGTCTTTAATTATAGGGTACAAATGAATCGCTTCTTTCAGCATTAATATAGGAGCATATGTAACTCTTTTTGGAAATAAACATTAGTTTTAAGTTTGTCAAATTTGTATTTTGTAAAACCTATTTTATACTTATTTTATACAATATAAATTGGATTCACTCCTCTGCTACTATTATTGATAAAATTATTTACAACAGAGAAAATGAGCAAATTACTTCGCTTTGAACTGTGACATTTACTAAATTGTCTTTGTCAATAATTGTTGGGCAGCTTTTTGAACAAGAAATCTAAATGTAAAGCTAAAATGTTATAATGCTTAAATAAAGTTAATTAAGTTATAGTAAACAATTTCAATTACAAACAATTTATGTATGCAGCATTAGCAAATTTGTAAATCTTAAGAAAAATATGAAAATAATGGGTACAGAATGGGGTTTAAAATGTGTTTTAACTTCTAAAATAATAGATGTCAAAAGAAATCAATTAAAGTTTGCTCAGTTTCACCATCAAATGGAATACTGTTTATCTAAAATTATATGTATTTATTTAAAAAAAATAAGGGCATTTAATTTACAACTATTAAAAATGACAAAATATGAAACAAATCAGGCCAAAATAACCATATTATTAACATAAATGTATTATAAAATTAGTTTTCTTTCTATGTAACTAAAAGATAAATATAAGCAATGCCAGGGGGTACCATATAGGAAATATCCCCTTCTTTAAAAAAAATGTAGGCCATGGAAAAGTTAAATTCTTTGATGAAATAATCTCAAAGGAACAGCATTGTCCTCAACAGCAGTAAAAAACTTGTAACACATTGTAAGTAAGGCAATGAGGCTGAAGTAATAATATTGTTTTTCTTCTTTCACTTGTATTTCTTTAATCATATAGGCAGAAGATTAAACACTATCATGAGACCATAAAGACGATCCAGGACAATATTTAATACTATTAATTCGGATACAGGTAATAACATTGTCTTAATTCACAAAGAACTCCTTTACTAATTTCTCCAAAAGAATTATAAAAAGAAGCTAAAATTTTTTAAAAAAGATACTCTTTATATCACTATAAGGCATTTTTTTGAAGCTAAAATGTCTAACATTGTTTATTACTTGGTGTTTCCTCTCAAAAGCCATGCAACTGCTTCTTCTAAGGTGAAGCCTCAGTGGTCGTAAGAGAGAGACATGTTTGAAGAATATGTAGCAGCTTGATTAGGCATGAGATATGACAATCAATTTTTGTATTTAAAATTATTATTTAAAAAAAGTTAGTAAAGTACAACAAATAGAGAGAACTTGAACACTGCCTAGTTTCCTTTTAATAACCAAATCTACTATTACTGGTGGTTTTTCACTGTCTTTTGTGTATTGAAATACTTTTTCAAAGTTGCTCAAGCTATCTACTGTGAAAAAAACCTTTTAAAGTCACATGATTCAGATAAAGCGCTATCTGCAATGGTATTGAACCTTTTAACAAATCATGCAGTAGATCAAAAAGAACTTGCTTTGTAACATCAAATACCCTAATTTCAGATCACATCAAATGCCCTTATTTCAGATTACACACTAAACCAGCAGTTGCTTTGCAAGTTAAAATGAATCACCAATAAAATGTAGTTAAAATTGCAAGTTAAAATGAGTCACATTGCAAGTTAAAATTGCAAGTTAAAATGAATCACCAATAAACATTGCAAGTTAAAATGAATCACCAATAAAATGAAGTTAAAAAAAAAAAGGCATTACGAGCCATAGTGACCTAACCCTGCTATGGCTCATTCTGAAAAAATTTGAAAAACTTTAAAACATCACTATTAAGACGTTAACTATTTTTAATGACTTTATCAAGTCATTAAAAATAGTTACAGTCAAATTTGGCTTGAGCATAGAATGCTGAAATAGAAATCAGTGTGGGTTAGGCCACTTTGGCACAGGAAAATATGTTCAAAATGCCTCACAATCAAACCATAAACTTCATATTGGAAAAATTAAATTTCAGGCTGCTCTGGCTCTCAGAGCCTCAAATATATCATAAATAAAATGTTTTGGTATTTCATAGATTTTTTAGGATTAGTTAAAGTTGACAAGTCAACCAATTATAGTTCATTTAGAGATTGTATTAAGTCAAAAAGAAAAGATTTTATAAAGCTTTTTAGCAATAATATGCAATAGCAGCCGTAGCACATTGGTTAGCTCACTTGCCTCAGAAGCTAGAGACCCATAGTTCAACCCCACCTCTGGGTAAGTTTTATAACATCGGTAATGAAAGAGGCATGAACTTCCTTTCAAATGCTCTTTCACTGTGCTCTGTGATAAGACCGTAAGGACTTCTTGGGGAACCTAAAATTAAAAAAAAAAAATAATAAATTTAGCAAATATTTCTGAATCAACTCCAATAATACACACCCATTTCATTTGATCCCATTCATATTACCATCACCAAACTTGCTAGAAATTAAAAAAAGTACAATTTCAAATTAAATAACTAAACCATTACATTTTAGAAATATTAAGAAGAAAAAAATGAATATTGTAAATAATGTAGAAATAATGTTAAAAAATAATTTCTAATACAAAGATTATAAAATTGTTTTTTAATGCATCAACAAAAATGTTGCATTAAAAAATGACATTTTACTTTTACTAATTTCTCCAAAAGATAAAAAAAAGCGACAGTGTTAAAAACCATAATCTTTGTATCACTATAAGTCATATTTTATAACTTCACATTGCTGTTATTAACAAAAACAATTTTTCATTTTCCAAGATATTTGACAGCTACCTTTATCATATTCATCTATGAGTTATTTTAGAATTCAAGAAAGCAGTCATTATCTAAATGACTTTAATTTTACAAATATACTTATCATTATTTAAAACGTGCACTCTCTAAAATAAATTTTAAGAGTTGTTAAGTAATATGTAGTAAGTAATATGTAGTAAGTAGTAAATAAATAGTAAATAACATAATAAAAACACTTATCTACTTTAGTTGGACATTTAATATTAACAAAATGTGTTCTTATTTTTTATCAATGCAATGAAAACTAAAACTAATAATATAAATAAAAATGAATAAAAATGTGGATAAATGTTTAATAATAAACAATGGATGCCAATATTAAAATGATGAACCTTAGTAACCAAAAATATAATAAAAATATATTAATATAATCCAAAAGTTGCTTAAACGGTTATAGCAAAACCACTTAAGAAAAAAACAAAATTGCAAAGATTTTTTAGATTCGCACTTTTTTTACCAATGTTACAAAATAATAGCTAAACATAACTCTTTGCTTAAATATAACATACCAATATATTTATAACAATTTTAACATATTTTTAACTAACATAATGCTTTAAATATATTTTTAGCTAACATAATGGTAAACATTTCATTTACCATTATTTTAGCCTTGTATTATTGGCTGTGTATATTTCACATAGTATTTTGGTACGTTTTCTATTTGGAAATGATAAAGCTTTTATTCCTATATGGATAAAAATCTTAAAACGTGTACATTCGTTTTAAAAGCAAATTTTAGTTATGAGCCTTTTTTTCATTTATAATTATAAATAAGTTTAAAAAATGAATTAATACATATAAAATTTGTAAAAAAGCTGGAAGGATTGTAAGTATATTAATTTAATCTTTCATTTTTTTCATAGATTTTTGTTGTATATATACATATATATATGTGTGTGTGTGTATGTATGTATGTATGTATGTATGTATGTATGTATGTATGTATGTATGTATGTATGTATGTATGCATGTATTTATATATGTATATATATATATATATATATATATATATATATATATATATATATATATATATATATATATATATATATATATATATATATATATATATATATATATATATATATATATATATATATATATATATATATATATATATATATATATATATATATATATATATATACAGTGCCTTGGCTATTGAGTTTCTGGCCCCCCCCCCCAAGAAAATAGCGCCCAAATTTCTTGAAAAAATTTTCCACTAGGTATTACTAAAAAAAAAAAAGCTCCTTTGATTTCCAAAAGGGTCTCTAAATTTGCTGCCCCCTCCCCCAAACTAGGGGTGTGGGTTAGTATAGCCATGGTTTCTGTTATATATATATATATATATATATATATATATATATATATATATATATATATATATATATATATATATATATATATATGTATATTTTGTATTATGTTTTTTGTATAATAATGACAAAAAATCTCTCGTTTGTTTAAAAGTGATCAATATTATAAAAACAATTTTTTATATAATAGATCTGATATAATTATTTAGTATTAAAATAAAATAAAATACAACTTTTTGTTGGTACTCAGAGTTTCATGCCTGACGGCAATCATCAGCCATATATTTTTAAATCAAGACATTAAAAAACTGTTAAAAGTACAAATTACGCAATTCAATGAGATCTGACGACAAAAAAATGATTACATGAAGTCTACCTTAGCCTTGTGTCAAATTGACAAAGAGGAATTTATTTCTATGCCAACATTTTGATATATTTTCAGTTTTCTTATTTAATAAACTGTTGTCATTGTTTCAAATAATTTCATATTTTTCATTAAGGCATTATTTGCACGATTTTATTGTTAGGTTATATGCTTCACATCCTCTAATTATTCTCCAATTAACCACAGGATTTTTATTATTGTCTTTTAAGTTCCAAACCTCTTTGACAGCTCTGTATCATTTCTATATTTAAAGATATTAAATGATTTCAAATGGTTAGCATATCTCAGTTTAAAATGGTGTTTCGCTAATACCAATGTATGATTTTTTTATTGAAGGGTTATCCGACTATAATAATTAATAAATTATTAGTTATTGAGTAAAGGACAATTATTTTTATTAAGACAGTTGCAGTTATCTTTACTAATGGTAGGATTTTTGTTTAGGATGTGCTTGTTGTGTAAATTTATTACTGATTTCATGTTTGGCATGCAACTGAAGCTGATTTCTACAGTGTTCTTTTTTAAAATTTTATGTAGTTTGTTGTTAATTAGAAAATAGTTGGCAATCAAGTTTAGAAAGCATTTTTTTATATTTGTGATGACATTTATGCTAAAAGGAGGGTTGTACCATATTATCTTGCTTGTACAGTTTTCTTTTGTTGTTGTTTTAAGTAAAGTTGGTAAGATAAATTATGTTTATAACCAGAATTTCTTAGTGCTTCATTATAAACAGATACAGATTTATTAAACACTTCTTCACTGCTAGAATTTCCAGACAATCTCAGTTCAACATTTTTAGGTAGTTGTTTTAATATACTAGGAGAGTGGTTAGATTGAACATGTATGTAGTTTAAAGTATTATCAGGTTTGCTGTATGGTTGATATGACTGGTCGCAGAGGTTGAGAGTTACGTCAAGGTAGTTCACAATTTTTGAGGTTGCACTGTATAGATATCTGTTAATCCATCATTGCGATATAAGCCAAAGTTATATATGTTATAAAAATTTGAAATTTGAAAAAGAATGAGTATTCCTACAAACTGACATATCTCCACACCATCAAGTGGTTATAACTGTCTTTTGACAAGTTATACAGATTAGAAATTTTATCAGCATAGGTATAAGTTAAGTTAGATTTGCAGATGTTGGTAATATCGCTTTTTAAGTCTACTTTGCAAACTGTTGGTTACTTTGCGGAACTTGATGTTTTTTATTAGCTCTAATAAATCGTTTTCGAAAGCTAACAATCGTTGATTTGCTTTGGACTATACGGTGTTTTTAACCCTTAAGAACTATAATTAAAATCTTACTTACTTTGCGAAAAAAAAAGCCTTCCATCGCATTCTCTATATCAAGGTTTCGGTTTTGTCTAATAATTGCATTTTATAGTCTTTGATAGATAGAATTGGAATATTCTTGACTGAATATTTCAAGCTTGTTTTCTCCATTTAAGTATACGATTTGAGTAGAGTGCTCAACTTATGGAGCAAATATTTTGTATAATGTTTTGTATAATAATGTACAAAAAATCTCTCGTTCGTTTAAAAGTGATCAATGTTATAAAAACAAATTTTTGTATAATAGATCTGATATAATTATTTAGTATTAAAATGAAAAAAATACAATCTTTATTGTGCAAATTATGGCTTAATGAAAAATATGAAGTTATTTCAAACAGCAGTTTATTAAATAAGAAAACTGAAATTATATCGAAATGTCGACATAAAAATAAATTCCTTCTTTGTCACTTCGACGCAGGGCTAAGGTAGGCTTCGTGTAATCGATTCTTTGACGTCGCATCTCATTGCAATGCGTAATTTGTATTTTTAGCGGTTTTTTAATTTCTTAATTTAAAAATATATGGCTGATGATTGCCGCCAGGCATGAAATATCGGGTATCAACAAAAAGTTGTATTTTTTTCATTTTAATACTAAATAATTATATATATATATATATATATATATATATATATATATATATATATATATATATATATATATATATATATATATATATATATATATATATATATATATATATATATATATATATATATATATATGTATATATATATATATATATATATATATATATATATATATATATAATATATATATATATATATATATATATATATATATTCTTATATACATTACATTCTTATTTTTATACATTATATATATACAATTTTTGAAATTTTCATTTTATATATACATTAATTCATTTAATATACATTATATTCTTATTTTTACTTTTAGCTTGATTCAAAGAACAGGGGTAAATTAACAGATTTAGGTTTTTGTAAACCTGGAGCTATGATAAGCGGTTCAATAGTTGGGACTCCTATACATATGGCTCCTGAGCTTTTTTCTGGTCGTTACGATCAGTCTGTAGATGTTTACGCATTTGGCATCTTATTTTGGTATATATGTGCAGGTAGTGTCAGACTTCCTGGCTCCTACGAACAGTGTGCTAGTAAGGATCAACTTTGGAATTCTGTACGTAAAGGTGTGAGGCCCGAACGTTTAGTTCATTTTGATGACGAGTGCTGGACGCTTATGGATCAGTGTTGGGCAGGTGATTATGCGGCACGTCCACTTTTAGGAAATATAGAACCCCGGCTTATTACCATAAAGGAAAGAATTGAAGCTCGCGATGCGCAAAAGCGCCAAACTCGTCCTGTTTTACGAACTCGATCAGTAATAAATCAAGAACATTCATTTGTTTCACCTTCTCATACAATTCAGGTTCCTTTGCAAGTCGATTAGTATCATTTATTTCTTCAGTAAAATAAGTTTTTATTCGGTTATTCTCAGAATTATATACTTCAAATAATCTTATGTAAAATATAAAAAAGAAAATTTTTATATATCTTTCTTCACACAGTTTTGGTATTAGTAATTGCTTTTCTAGAATCCATTTATTTTTATAACCTTGTAATATATGAATATTCTCTGTATCTAACGCATTTTTGTAAAACATTAGAAATAAAATATTATCCGTCAAATAAATTTTATTTAACAATTTAATGAAGTAATTTATTTTACAATAAACATTACCGCTATGTATATATATATATATATATATATATATATATATATATATATATATATATATATATATATATATATATATATATATATATATATATGTAGGACATTTATTTAAAAGACTGAGTCTATTAACTAAAGATTTGGTGATTTCAATTCCGATTCTTTGCCAATTTCAATTATTTTTCAATTCTAATTATTTTAAAAACACTAATAGTATAAATCCAATTAAAGTTGTAATAAAATACGTGATAATTAAAAACGCATTAATAGTTTTATACTTAAACGGAATTTAAAAGTACAAAAACCGGCAACAGCTCTTTTTGGTATTGTACTTAAAGGACCGTTGCCGGTTTTATCACAATTAAACTCCGTAATAAGTATTAATATAATATTATTTTCTTCTGTGTCTTTTGAGTTCTTCTAAGATTGTCTTTACTCAAAGTTAAATCGGTATTTATAGGCAGTATGTAAGGTATAATTGCCCCCTTCTAAACGTTTTTAGTTTTTTTGGATTTTCCAATTATCAAAAAGGGTACCACAAGGTTCTTCCTTTGTTCCTGTATTGTTTCTTATCTACAATAACGATCTTCATGATATCTAAAGTGGCTCCAATTCCTGACGACTCAACTTAATGTTCTTCTCTTGACAAAAAGTCCTCACTTTTTTCTGTAGCAGCCTAAGGCTAGGAAAATATAAATATTCATGCAACAAAATCAACCAATCTAGTAAAAATACGCCTTCTGGCCGCGTTTACAAAAACTGAATCTCTAAAGTTTAAAAAAGAAATATCAAATAAGTAAATAAAGACTTTTATATATTATGAGCTGTGATACATGATAACGTAATAATGTTTTAAAAAATAAACTCATAAAAAAACTGCCATAAACAAATTAAGTATTTAACAATCTGATGATACTGGTACTCAGCGAATTTCTTTAAGATAAATTCAGCAAAAATTTTAAAGATAATTATTAGTATTGAAAAAAAGCGCATTTTCTGATGTTTCAACAACATCAACAACAATAACAATAATAGTAATGTTAATAATAGTAATAAAACAACAAATAGAGTAATAATACTGATAATAATAATAATCTTTATATAAACATAAGTATATGTATGTGTTAGTGTGTGTTCTGAACATTTTGAAACACCAAAATCAATGTTATCTGTAATGTGATACTTTCTGTTGCAAAGTTGTTCAAGTTCATTACAAAATCAAAATCTTTTTCTTTTCCAGCTTTAATTTTTTGACTTGGATTAATTTTTTTTATTTTCACATTTTACTAAGCAATTTTGTAACTAACCATTTGACCATTATTTACCCCGTTATTCAAGAAACGTAACCATTTTCGAAGAATTGTCGCGGATGAAACACCCTACTAATACATCTTTTAATTTAGTAAAATATGTTTTTATGCTAATTTGTTTTATTTTAAATAAAAAAGCAATACTTTTTACTATAGAAACATTTTTAATACTAGTGTATTAAAAATGTTTCTATAGTAAAAAGTTTATTACCATGCATTTTTGGATAAGTGTTAGAGTTTTCTTCTGGTCCTTTAATTGTGCCAGAGGGTTCCAAAGCCACATTCAAATTTTGTGTTCCTAACGAGATAGTCAGCCTAAACGTTTTTTTCCGCAACTGAGTTTTTAATATCTATTAAAGAACCAAAAGTGTAAAATAAAATTTTAATAAACTTAAAACTCTTAAAACTTTTAACGAATTCAAAGCAAAATTTGAAGCAAATGCTTTTGGTTAGTGACGGAGTGCGTGACTTCTTCTGAAATTATCTGGGTGGTACAGATTATTTTAAAATAGATCAAATGGAAAATGTGTTTAAAATTTTTGATATTTTCATAGTCTTGAACAAAAATTATTTTTTCTTTTTCTCTTTATTTATTGAAAAATTTTTTTTTATCTTTTCAAAAAGAAAGTTTAAATTTATATTCGTAACAATTATGACTTACGTAACTATTATTATCTTTTACAGAATCAATTCTCTTGGTCTTATTTTTTATTTACAGTGTCGGACAAAACAAGTGCAACCAAATAATGCTAATTTAGTTTCTTTATACAAAAGTGCTGCATTTTTTCAATTTAGAGAAATAACTATGTAACTGTTTAGAGACAACGTTCTTCAAGTTTTATTCATCACAAAGTTCATTATCTGTACACGAAAATTAAAAAATTAATCAAAAGTATTAAAAAAAGTTGATTTTCTTCTGAACAAAACAATTGCAACTCCACAAATGTTGACCAAGATGTATTTCGCTGTCACTATTTCGTGGCAAATCCTTTGTTATCAATCACAACCTTGCATCTTCTAGGCATAGATTCGATCAGGTGTTCAATGAAACTTTGTGGAATCGCTGCCCAGGCCTTTTGGATTTGTTCAAACAGTTGATCCTTATTACAAACACCTTCTCGAATAATTCTGCGGTCTCCCACAGGTTCTTGATAGGGTTGAGATCCGGAGATTGAGGCAACCAATCCATCACCGATAGGTAGTTGTCTTGAAACCACTGCTTGACTACTTTTGCAGTGTGTTTCGGATCGTTGTGTTGCTGAAAAACCCATTTTTTGGCATATTTCATTCAGTATGAGGTAACATAACTTCTTTCAGGATATTTGTATACATGAAATGGTCCATTATTCCATTGATTCGATGTATTGGACCTAGACCGTTAGCAGAAAAACACCCCCAGACCATTACATTGCCTCCACCATGCTTCACGGTCTTATAGCAGTAACGTAAATTAAGGCATTTTCCGGCCGGTCAACGTACACGGCAAATACCATCGCTCCCAATGATGTTGAACTTTGATTCATCACTGAACAGAACAGTTCGCCATTTCTGCACATTCCAGTCAATATGAGATGTAGCAAACAGGAGTCCTTTCTTCTGGTTCTTTAGTGAAATAAGCGGTTTCTTTGCAGGGCGTCGAGAAAACAATCCGGCTTCAACAGCACGTCGTCTGATTTTTCGGTCCGACACAGGCAGCTCTAATTGCTTTTGTTTCTCGACTGATGATACCCAAGGATCCCTCTTGACGGATCTGACGATCATAGAATTTTCTCTAGAAGTGGTTGAACGCGGTCTTCCACCTTTATTATCTGCTGCCAACTTCCCCGTAGAACGATATTTGGAACATAGTCTTGATACGGTCCATTTTTTTACGCGATATTTATCACAAATACTTTTTTGTGACATTCCACTTACGTAATCGCCAATAATTTTCTTTCATAGTTCCAATCCAAGACTGTCGGAAGCCATTTTTGCACTTGAAGTCATATAAATAATAAAAATAAATAATCACGCTTCTCAAGGGTTACCGTGTTATATTTACCTTGTGATAATACAATAATGCTCTGTGGAACACAACGTCTTGGTTGGATGTGGACTGTATTGATGTAATGAAATACTTGTTGTATTTCACTTCATGTATTGATGTTCTTCGATAAAGCACTTTGATAAAACTCACTTCGATAAACTGTCTTGATAATACTGATTGACTTCCATATACTGACTGAATTACATGTCGGTATTTACATGTCTCTTATATAGTGTGTGAACCTGTTCTTGAAGATTTTAGATGCTTCTTTTCGATGCTTCTGGAAGCTTCTGGATGCGTCTGGATGCTTCTGAATGTTTCTGGATACTTCTGGATGCTTCTGGATGCTTCCAGATGCTTTTTCTGGAAACTTTTGGAAGCTTTTGCATGCTTCTGGAAAACTTCTGGAAACTTCTGGATACTTCCTTTATTTATTAAAAAACTTCCGTGACGTTGATACGGACCAGACTTAAGAAAATGAAACAAACCAAAAAAGTTGCACTTGTTTGTCCGCTGAAAAATGGCACTTGTCAACGAAATTCAGCCTGTGTGCTGTCACCTGTCAGCTAATTGTTCATGTCATGGCATGCTATGACTCCAGACTCCTGAACTGTTTGTTGTGGTAGTATAGTTTGTTTCGTTTTTAAGACATTTAAAATTAGGAACGCTTTTTAGCATTGTTCGATGTTGGCTCCAAATGTTTTGCCCAATACTGTATATATTTATATGGCTAAAACAAAAATAAAAAAACTTATTAATGACATTTAAAAAAAAAAAAAATTTTTTTTCGGCTGCCTGTTTTAAGCAATTGGAAAAAGAAGACTTTTTGTTAAGATAAGATTATAAAGTTAAGTCATCAGCTGGTAAGATTTGAACCTCCGTCATTACCAAATAGCTGGGGTGATTAGAACCTCCGAAAATGAGTTAACCTGCTTAACTGGAATTGAAAGTTAAGATTCAAGAGTCGAATAAGAAGATTTTTTGCAAATAGTTCAGCCTAATCTTTAGAAGAGGTATATAAAATTCCCAAAATAAAGTCTCATGAATAAGAAATGAAATGTTTGACCTTTGTTAATGACGCTGTTGAAGGTTTTTCAAATTTCTAGAGCTTGATTTCTGTTTCTAGAGCTTGATTTCTGAGATAAGATACGCGGTTTAATAAACTAGAAATAATGGAGCTTATCATCAGTCATCACCTTTTTGCATTAAATTTGGAACCGACGAGAAGGAATAAAAGCTTCTATTCCTGCCTTCTAATGAATGACATTAAAAAAGAATGGCAGAAAAGCAATGACAGAAAAAAGACATCAACCTAAGGACCGTCATTTAAGGTGGTTCACCACCAAAAAAAGCTAAATTTTTATCAAAAGTTGGTTTTTGAGATTTTTTTTGTTTTATAGTAATTCAACATTGCTGAAAATGTTTCTGGATTCTGTTTTCGTATATCTTGAGTATTTTTTGAAGTATTTTGCTTTAATTAGACCTTATCAGATAACTTTACCATAGCAACGGCCCCTAGCAACGCAAACTTATGTTTATAATTGCCCTCTCTCTTTGCCTTGATTTAAGTTTTTTTGTTAGTTACGCATTAGTTTAGTAGGCCAGCATGGTTTGACAAAAGTTTAGAATGTAACA